TTTTTTTTTTTTGGTTTTTCGAGACAGGGTTTCTCTGTGGCTTTGAAGGCTGTCCTGGAACTCACTTTGTAGACCAGGCTGGCCTCGAACTCACAGAGATCCGCCCGCCTCTGCCTCCCGAGTGCTGGGATTAAAGGCGTGTGCCACCAACGCCCGGCCTCTTTTTTGTTTTTCTTTGAAGACAGGTTTTGTTATGAAAAAGTGTGGGGGACCTTGGCAGATTCCATGGCAGGCAAGGGTGACAAGGGTGGGGATAAAACATGCCAGGCAGACAGAGCTTAAGTGAGAAGTTTTATGAGAAAGGGGAGGGAGGGAGAAGGAAAGAGAACAGAGGCAAAGAGGCACAGAGACAGAGAGAGAGAGGACAGGAGAAGAGGGAGACAGGAAAAGTCCTGTCTGCCCCAGGGGACCAGCAGGAAAGAGATCATATGAGTGGGTAGGGGGTCAGTCTTTTCAAGGGGTCCTTTGCCCCTGCGTGTAGACTAGTGGCCATGGAACCCTGGGCTGACCAGGGCACTGCCTGAGTATGTTCTGCCAGGTGCCAGGGGCGGGCCAGCATAATGCCTGAATCCTTACAGGGTTTCTTTGTGTAACAGCTCTGGCTGTCCTAGAACTCACTCTGTAAACCAGACTGGCCTCAAACTCAGAGATCCACCTGCCTCTGCCTCGAGTGCTGGGATTAAAGGCGTGTGCCACTACCACTGGGCAATAAAGTTCTTGGTTTTGTAAAACTCAGACAACAGTATGTTTACTTAGGCTCCATTTCCTGCTACTTTTCCAGGACTCTTCTATGTGAGAAAAGTACACTGAATTTTCTCACCAAAAACAAGGTGAATATACTCTCAAATCTGGTGGCAGCTGCAATCAGACAGACAGGCTTCATGGAGGAGTCTAGAAATATTGGGAAATATTCATGGAAAGGTGACTGTTGTGTTTTGGATTGCTCTGCCTCCCACCCCTATGCTCGGTAATGGTACTGACTGTCAAGTGTTTTCATTTCTTTATCCATTTTACTGCCACATACTTCACTGTGTATATTCTCATGTCTATTGTAGGACACAGAAACGGAGATAGACAAAGTGACCTACCCAAGCTCATATTGCCTGGAGGTAGCAAACAGTACGGAAATATGGACTGAATGTACTGGGCTGTTAAGAGAACCAGATTTTCATTTGTTTTGAGGTATGGTGGGTAGAATTTAGGTTCTTGTGCATTCTAGGCCTTGAGCATGCTAGATGAGCACTCTACCACTGGGCTTTATTTCTAACCATAGAGAACCAGACTTCTGTTTTTTATTTTTTGTGACAGGGTTTCATTGTAGGCCTGGCTGGTCTGGAATTCTTTAATGTAGACCAGGACCAAACTCAAATTTGTGGCAATTTTCCTATCTCTGCTTCTCAAGTACTAGGATTATAGGTATGTCCCACCATGCCTGGCTTTTTTATTTTTGAGATTCACTATATAGCCCATGAACTCACAGTCATCCTCTTGCCTCAGCCTGATAACCAGATTCTTACAAATGAAGCTGATTTAAAACTTATTTTGTTCTTTCAACCAGTAGGTTGTACACACGTGTGTGTACATATGCATATGGATTGTCTGAAATTCTAGCAAGAATAATACCATGCTGTTTGCCTGCCTGCCTGACAGCCAGCCAGCCAGCTAGTCAGCCAGTTAGTTCCCTTCTGTATAAACTGTTGACTTGAACGTAGGCTCATGTCCACAGTTCACCAGTCAGTGGGATTAGAGTGGGACATATGAAGTTAACTTACCCATGGTGATCCATCACTTCATACAACTTAGACAAGCAGAACAAGGGTGCACACAAGGTCCCTGGGTTCCAGCAAGTGAACTCTATTGTTGAATGTGCTACTTCCTGAAACTAGCTCAGAGGAAGTCTTTCTAAATACCACACTGTTTCTTTTGTACCCTCTGCCTAGGCCTGCTCATATAACCCGACTTTCCTCAAACCCAGCCTCTCATTCCCGAAGTGAGTAAATCACCTTACAGCACCCTGGTAATCTAGGTTCATGTTTTGAGCTAGTAGTAGTGCCAGCTAAGGCTGATGGTGTAGCTATGGGTATTGTGCCAAGTGTCTCACCCAAGGCCCCAGCTGCTTGCCAAGGCCCTGCAGCATGGTATTCAGAAGAGAGTGGGAGAGAGGTTATAATGAGGGTGAGGCATTTTTTCTCCTAATCTGAAACCTGACCTGGACCAGAGACCTCTCTTTGTAGAATGTAGAGACAAAATCCTTTCTGAAAGTCAAGGACAAGCCTGATTCTCCGTATGATATTCATGCAGCCAATGAGACAAGGTCCTGGGGTTAGTGGCTACCTGACCCAGGAAACACACAAAGACCTTCTTGAAATGGGTGCTTTTGTGTTCCTCCCCCGCCCCAAGCACTGGGGAACCGAAACTAGTTGCTAGAATAAGGCCTGAGGCAGCTGCAACCACAGGGATAAGGAAGGGGAGGGGCTGCCATAGAACAAAGCTTGCAGTGGCCTGAAGTAGCCTTTCCCAGTGTCTGAGGGCTCTCCTAGCCCCAGCCCACCTCACAGAGTGGCTGGGATCTGGGCGGAAGGGCGGTTACAATGGAGGTGTGTGTGTGTGTGTGTGTGTGTGTGTGTGTGTGTGTGTGTGTGTGTGTGTGTTGGGGGTTGAGGGTGGAGCTTGTCAGACTGAGCACCACAGCAGAGGCTGGGGTCAGGCATCCCTATCCCTGGGAGAGAGGGAGGCAGCTAGGCAGGTTGCTTGCCAAGCCTGTCAGTCACTAGCCAGGGGTTCTGACAGCCTTGACCCTGAGCACCAACACCACTGCAGTTGCTGTGCTGAATTTTGCTTGTTAACCTCTGCTTGGGCTGAGTCATGCCCATAATACCGGACAGCCCAGCCAGCCAGCTCTGCTGGACGCTGGCCTTCAAAGGGCCCAGAGATGTGGGAGGTTAGGTGGCAGGCTGTGTCCTACCATCCCTGCTCCAGATGGTAGGAGTCTAATCCCCCCATTGGTTGCAGGAATGGTTGACTTAAAGACTGGAGTGAGCTGGACCAGTAGCATCACATACCACTAGAATCCAAAGAGCCAAGTCCAAGACAATTAATTTCACCAAGGAAGGAAGCAGAAGTGGCCTGGAGGTTGCAGGCAGCCAGCACCGGGAAGTTCCCACCCAGTGGTGCCATTTCTCCATTTCTGCACCTTTAGATTATAGCCATCCAAGGCCTACCCCCAAGCTTGTCCCAGTGCCTATTCATAACTTTAATATGAGCCTGAGTAGGCCTTAGGCTTTCCCTTCTCCTTATAGCTGGCTGCCATGGGTCTCCCAGCCACCTCTTCTCCTATATAAGCAGTATTTCAACCTGCCCCACCTCATGGCCCCCGTAGAAGGCAATTTCCTCTGAGTTGGCCACCACTCGAGAGTGCATGTAGCGCAGTTCCCCCTTCCGACGTGCCTCCTCTGCCACTAGCTCTCCAAACTTGGGAGAGAAGGCTCGTAGCACGTTGGCTGTTAGGAACACCACCAGGCCAGCGATGGCTGAGGGCCAGGCTGTGCCAGCTCCTCTGGAGCGGGCAGCTCGAAGGAGAGTGTAGGAGGTCACCGCCACATCCAGGAGTGGCTTGGTCAGGTTAGAATAGAGGTGGGCTACAGAGGCAGCAAAGGCTACCACATCCTCCGTCAGAGACTGGTCAGGGTTTCGAAGCCGGCCATCCATGTTGCTTACTCGGTAGTAAGTCTGATGGGAGAAGTAGAGGCTGTAGGCATGAGCAACTAGACGGCTTCGGAAAGACAGAGCCAGCTGGCCCTCTAGGTAGCGGATAGCACTGTTGATGAAAGTGGCAGGAAGGGCGATGAGGAGCCACTGAAGCAGTTGCCAGCTAAAGGCCCGTGGGTCCTTACGTACAATGCAGCGGGCCAGTCTGCCATCCAGGCGGGCCACATACACAGACAGGAAAGTTCGGCTTACCAGGGCAGCAGAATGCAGGGCCAGCAGCCCTGTTTCCCGGCACAAGATTCGGGGGAACAGCAGCCTCAGGAGCACCAGGAGCCGCTGCAGGAAAACCCGGTTCATGCCAGCCTTGGCTGCTGTGACCCCAGAGGTCTCTTGATCTTCAGCTGGCACCTGAGGGCCTCTGGAAGGAGTCAGACACTGCCGTACTAGAGGGTAGATTTTGTGGACTCCATAGGCTGTGAGGGCCAAGACCACAGCTGTACGCTTCAGTGTGGTCACCCTTGAGGACCGTGGAGTGGAGAGCACCGGCATGTCACCTGGACTGGTGGGCAGGCTGAGGGGCTGGGGCTACTGCCCGAGGCTGCAGTTGCAGGGCTCGTTGTCTAGACCACTGGAAACCTTGAAGTGGTCCCTGAGACTGTTGTTTTAGGCCCCTGGGGTGGTGCTGGGGCCCCTGAATCGGTTGGCTTGGGATCCTCCAGGGTCGTGGCCTGCTTCAGGCAAGCCCAGGTGGAGGAAACTGACTTCCCTCTCCAGATAGTCCCTTAGCCCCTGAGGTCAGAGCCTGGAGAGGTCTTAAGCAAAGAGGCTGTCTCTTCCTTTCCACCCCCTCTTACTGCACCTCCTCCCCCCCTTGTAACGCCCCTCCCCGAGGCACCAGCCGTGTTCGTCTGCTTGCCAGCCGGGCTGAAGCTTCTGTGATTTCGCCACAGCCCAGAATCTCCACCCACCCACCCCTCCCCAGAGGGAATGGGGGGTGGAGTTGGGGCAGGAGGCGGAGTCCGGGCAAGGGGCGCCCACCCCGTTCTCGCCCTACGGCTGGGCCCCACCCCCTCTCTGACCACAGAGACGAGGGATGACTGCGCAAAAGCTAGTGAAGTGGCCCTAACCTTCCTGCCTAGGCTCCTCCGAGCTCCACCCCTGGGTGTCCGAAGTGTCAGAGGCGCGGCAGTCACCCTTCGGCCGCCAGCCACTACTTCCACTGAAGATCTACCTAGGCAACGGCCCGCGACCTGGGGGCGGGACGGGAAACGACAGTGGGCGGAGCCGTTGGGGGGAAATCTCACGAAGGCCTGTAGGCGGGGCCCGAAGCGCGCTTCCGGTTTCCGGCTGCGGGCTAAGGGGCGGGCCTGAGCGTTGGTGAGAGTTTAGTAATTGCGGTTTGGCGTGCGAGTTGTCTGAAACTCGGTAAGCTGGGTCCGCGAGCATGGCTGGCTCCCGGACCACTGAGGTTCCCCAAGCTCCTTCGTGAGGGCGGAAACTGAGCAACCCAGAAAGACTGGGGATTCTGGGAAATGTCGGGATACGGGCCGACTTGGGAGTCTAGGATAGGGTCCGGTAGAGGGACGGTGGGGTGGCAGGTAGAGCGGTGCTCCAGGGGCGCGAGGGCGGGGGCCAGTGAAGAAGTCCCACCTCGAGAGCTACCCAGGTAGACCCAGCTCCTCGAAGGCCCCCTGGCGTGATGGACTTGGGTGGAGTTGCGTCGTATTAAGTCTGTTTGGCCTCGGTGAGATTTTTGGTTCTGGGACTTTCTCCAGATGCATTGAGGTGTTCTTTGGAGACCTGCATTTGCTTTTGGCCTGGATTCCTGTCCTATAGGAGTCGCTCTTGTGGGCCTTTTGCGGGTATGTTAACGCCTCACACTTCCGTGCATCTGCAGGAAGGCTTGTTTAGTTTCCGAAAAGCAGTCTCAGAGAGAGAGTGGGGGGAGGGGAGAGAAAGACAGAGAGAGAGAGAGAGACAGAGACAGAGAGAAAGAGAGACAGGGAGAGAGAGGGAGAAGTAGGAAGGGAGGGAGGAAGGGAAGGAGGGAAAGAAAGGAAGAGGAAGGAGAGGAGAGGAGACTGCTGGGATATCTGTCACTCCAAGGTGTTGGGGAAGGAATGTGCCTGCTTGCTTGTGCTGCGGTTCAGTCGGTGGCATTTCCAGAAAGTGCATATATGAACGTTGCAGTCCCAGGCCCGGCCCACTGTAGCAGCGACTGAAAGACATGTAGCTTCTGCATCAGAGGCTTCTGGTCTGGGAAGGGAGCCTGATGCTTGCTCCTGTTCATGAACTGTTCTTATGAGAAACATTTTCTTAGTTAAACAGGTCTAAGGAGTTCCTTGGACTCTCCCAGGGAAAGGAATCATCAACAAAGGTATCTTGTCATGGTAAAACACATGCTGGAGGGCCATAAGTAACTATGCCAGTTAAGGGAAGTTCGTTGGCTGGTTAGGATGGGAGGGGCTCTAACAGGCACGAGCCTGGCAAACATGGGTCTGGCAGGCCTTGCCCTTCTCCCGTTCCCTCATTGTTGGCTAAAAACTGTTAGATTGCCGGGCGTTGGTGGCGCACGCCTTTAATCCCAGCACTCGGGAGGCAGAGGCAGGCGGATCTCTGTGAGTTCGAGGCCAGCCTGGTCTACAAGAGCTAGTTCCAGGACAGCCTCCAAAGCCACAGAGAAACCCTGTGTCGAAAAAAAACCAAAAACAAAACTGTTAGATTACATTCTTAAAGCTAACCACCATGGTCCATTCCCTTTCTTGGCCAACACATCTTCCTGAGGCTGACTACCAAGGTCCAGCTATCAAAGTATTGAAGTCCAGCAATCAAAAGCCTCCTTTTGGCTCACCTAACTAACATGTCTATCCAAAATTAACCAACTCATCCTAACACAGGGTTTCTCTTTTTCCCTTTATAAAATGCCATTTACTTATGGGCCATCCATGTCTGTCTCCTCTATTCAGAGGCAGTCCTTTGTCCTAGAGGGACAAATACCCCTCCCCCTCTTCCTTGTTTCTTTTCGATTCTCCCTAGTCCTATCTCCTGTCTTTCTCTCTTATTCCATGTCCTTTGTTCCTCTGGGGCAAATAAATCTCCTTTGTGCTGAGAACTTGGTCTTGGGGAGTCTTGGGCTGACTTCAAGTTTCCTTTCAAGCATCATTGGCCAAGTATCCCCATTGGGTTAAGACTGGTTTCATCCAGGGCCTCAAAAGCTCTGAAGCCGAGTGCTGGAGTCTGCTTTGAATAGTAGCAGCCTCAGTCTCCAGGATCCTTGAACTAGATTAGATGTCAGTGGCTGCCCAGCTCACATGGTTCCTCCTTTTTCCTCTGCCCTACCAGGAAACAAGCTCCCATCTCTCTGCTGGAAAACTTTGGTCACAGGATGAGTCTACAGTGGACTGCTGTTGCCACCTTCCTCTACGCAGAGGTCTTTGCTGTGTTGCTTCTCTGCATTCCCTTCATTTCCCCCAAAAGGTATGGCTAGTGGAGCAACAAGACAAGCTTATGGGGGGGGTCCTATCTAACCCTGAACTTTGTTGTTTCTGTGTGCAGAATTGGTGGACCCTGAAATTGGAGCTAAATGGAAACAAGCAAAACCTGTCTTAGATGAGGGTGCCAAGAGTTTTCTTTTAATTACAAATCTTTCACACTGTTTTTCTCTGTTACCTCTTCAGTTTCTTTCCTGTGCACCCTGCCTTCTGGTCTTTGCAAAGGAAGATCTATCTTTGGAGCCTGTCCTGGAACTAGCTTTTGTAGACCAGGCTGGTCTCTAACTCACAGAGATCCACCTGACTCTGCCTCCCCCCCAACCCCCTCCTTAGGCCTCAGGGCTGTGGAGGATGGTTGTGTGGAAATCAGAATACTTGCACCACTGGCTTATATTGTTAATCTGCTGACTTTTGTCCTCCTAACCAGCTCTTACTGGCATTGCCTAGTAGGCTCATGAGCATTACTCAGCCTATGAAGAATGAAGCCATATTCCCTTTTAACAAACAGAATTTACTAAGTTAATTAGGTGCTAATTTTTAAATTATATTTAGTATATCAGCACACTATCCTTATTTAAATTAAAATGTTATAAAATTACCACAGTTAATAATACCTAAGGAATATTCTTGCCAAACTCACATTGGCATCCCATTTACAGGAAATACAGAGATAAAAACACTGGTGGGACTATAGTCTTGGATGCTTTCTAGGACAACTGTCTTTCTTCCACCATTCAGGAGGTGAAGGCAGGATCAGGAGTTCAAGGCTTATTTTGACTACATAGCAAATTTGAGGCTAACTGTGAGACCCTGTCTGAAATTTATAAGGGCTAGGGAAATAGCTTGTCAGTAAAGTGCTTATTGTACAAATATTAGGATCTGAGTGTGATCTGCATTACCCATGTGAAAGCTGGACATGGTGACATAGTCCTGTAACAGTGCTTTAGAGGCAAAGACCAGGAGTATCCTAATCAGTCTAGCTGAATTATAAGCTCTGCATTCATTAAAACCTTTGCAAAAAAATAAAGTGGAGAAGGGTTACAGAATATGCCCACCTAAAGCTCCCATACTCATGTACCAGAACACACAAACAAAAAAAAGTAAAAAAAGGAGAAGGGGGGAACTGATTAAGACCAATTTAAAATGGTAAATGCTAATTCAGAACCATGCTGTGTCATGTTTCTAGCAAACCAACTATTGATTTTTAACTCTGCATCTGATGACAAAGGTGATATGTTGATAGGATCTTGGGACTTGGAATGTATACCTGGCCCCAAACTCAGAGATTCACCTGCCTCTGCCTACCAAGTACTGGGATTAAAGGGCATGCACCACCATTTAACAGTATGTAACTCCTTCTGAAAGGTTTTTAGAGTTGTATCTTGAATATTTGTTCATGGAAATGATGGAGAATCTGGGTTCCTTTTTGTAACCTAGGGTGGTAGGATTCTAGACAAAAAAAAAGATTGTTACATATTAGACAAAAGGAAGTTAGGCATAGTGGCACACTTATTTAATTCCAGCACAGGAAGGCAGAGGCAGGTAGACTTCTGTGAGTTCAAGGCCAGCCTGGTCTACAGAGTGAGTTCCAGGCAGTAAGGACTACCTAGTGAGACCTTGCCTCAAAAAAAAAAGATAAAAAAGAAAGACAAAAGGAATAACTATATTTGTGGCAGATTTTTCCAACTACTACAGGGGGAAGTACAATGAAAAGTAAGGTTTCCTTACTAGAGACTGCCAGTGTTTTAACACTATTTTTTTCCAGGCGTTTCTGCAGGTAGACAAACACCCTTTAATTAATTAATTAATTAATTTTTGGTTTTTCGAGACAGGGTTTCTCTGTGGCTTTGGAGGCTCTCCTGGAACTAGCTGTTGTAGACCAGGCTGGCCTCGAACTTAGAGATCCGCCTGCCTATGCCTCCTGAGTGCTGAGATTAAAGGTGTGAATCACCAACGCCTGGCTTAATTAATTATTTTTATTTCATGTGCATTAGTGTTTTGCCTGCATGTATGTCTGTGTGAGCATGTCAGACCCCCTAGAATTAGAGTCTTAGACAGTTGAAAGTGGCCACGTGGGTGCTGGGAATTGAACCTGGGTCCTCTGAAGAGCAGCCAGTACTCTTTACTGCTGAACCATCTCTCCAGTCCTGACAAACATCTTTTTACTAAGGACTCTTGAACTTAAATAGGAGAAATACATAAGCAGCTGAGACTGATTTTGTACAGGCCCCTTGGGCATGGGGGAAGAACACCAAACTGTTTTTCCTTTTTTCTCAGGGTTTGGATTGCAAAAGTGCATCTTCTTTAGTGTCTATCTTCATCTCTTTCACAGATGGCAGAAGATTTTCAAATCACGGCTGGTTGAATTGGTAGTGACCTATGGCAACACCTTCTTTGTAGTTCTCATCATCATCCTTGTGCTGTTGGTTATTGGTGAGTGAGCTGCAGCTGCCAGACCAGATCCTGTGTCATGGCTTCTAAAGCAATGTGCCACCTTGGATGGATAGAAAACAAGTTTTACCTTCTCATTTATCTGTGAAGGAGGTGATATTAGCAAGGCCTTCATTTCAATAGGTTCCTATAGCAGTTCGTGTGGGCTTACACTTGGTAACTTTTATATACTCTTTTGACCACCTGTTTTAATGCTAATGGAACTAACTGGCCTATGACATTGGTCCAGAAAATGCTGCCTTTTCAGTCATGTAGACAGCAGCGCAGTATTCCCTCTTGAAGCCTGACATCATCTTTTTTTTTTTGGTCTTTTACATTTTTGTTTGTTTTGTTTTGTTTTTCAAGATAGAGTTTCTCTGTGTAACTTTGGAGGCTGTCCTGGCACTTGCTCTGTAGACCAAGCTGGCCTCAAACTCACAGAGATCCACCTGCCTCTGCCTCCTGAGTGCTGGGATTAAAGGTGCGCACCACCACCATCCAGTGTCTTTTACTTTTTGTTTGTTTATTTATCATTGTTATTATTTTGTTGTTTGAGACAGGATTTCTCTATGTGGCCTGGAACTTGCTCTGTAGACCAGGCTGGCCTCAAATTCAGAGATCTGTCTGCTTCTGACTATGCCTTCTGAGTGCTGAGATTAAAGAGATATATGCCTGACTGCTTTTGGTTTTTTTTTCTCATCTTAAAAAGAGACTTGATTGGCTGGGCAGTAGGTGGTGTACACCTTTAATCCCAGCACTTGGGAGGCAGAGGCAGGCAGGTGGGTCTCTGTGAGTTCAAGGCCAGCCTGGTCTAAAGATCAAGTTCCAGGACAGCCTCCAAAGTAATATAGAGAAACCCTGTCTCGTAAAACAACAACAACAACAACAAAAAAAAGATGTGATGGTTCAGCAGTTAAGAGCAATGGCTGTTCTTCCAGAGGACCCAGGTTCAATTCCTGGCACCCACATGGCAGCTAACAACTGTAGCTCCAGTTCCAAAGGATCTGATACCTTCACACAGACATACATGCAGCAAAACACCAGTGCACATAAAATAAATAAATCTTTAAAAAAAAAGAAGAAAAAAAGACATGAGTTGGTTTTTGTTCCTTTTATTTGAGATAGGGTCTCACCCTGTAGTCTAGACTGGCATTAAATACCTGGCTCAGTCTCTTGAGTGCTGGGGTTACATATATGTACCAGCATGCCTCTTGAAACAGAATTTCTAAGCACAGGACAGACTGATTAAACAGCCTAGCTGGAAATGGGGTTCTGTCTTATTCTATAGTGGGAGGTAGAAAATTAGGTGTTTGACATGTCTTAAAGACATGCTTCAGGGTAGAGCGTGAGTTAATGTTCACAGCTCCACCCACTAGCTGTAAGCATTGGGTGTTTTCCCTTAATGTTCAGGGCTTGATGGGGGATTTGTTGAGATGGGACTTCCATCTGAACAGGCCAAATGTGCCTATGGATTCCCAGGCACAGCTGTTGGGTGCCAACTGCTCACATACCTCTTGAAATGATTTTAGCGAGACTCCAAGAAGCAGCTTTTTCCACTTAACAGTCTGAGCAGTTTCTGGAATAGGAGCCAATAGGGAGTATACAGATCTTGCTTAGGATTGAACTTCATCAAATGCCAAGCTTTAATAGTGTAGTAGTACTTTTTCATCAGGACCACCAGATGCAAATAATGATAATTATTAATTACCTTACATTTGTACCTAACTAGTTCTTTCAATTAAAATTAACATATATTTTTAATTTACTTTTTTGGGGGATTTTTTTTTGTTTTTTATTCTTTTTCAAGACAGGGTTTCTCTGTATTGTTTTGGAGCCTGTCCTGGAACTTACTCTGTAGACCAGGCTGGCCTCGAACTCACAGAGATCTTCCTGCCTTTGAGTGCTGCAATCTACATTCTTTTAAGAGGTTTATTACCTCATCTCCATTCTGCCCATCCTGCTTCACATTTGCCTGACAACTCTTCCTCCTTCCCATAGTGCTCTCTCTGTTCAGAAGTCCTGCCTATACTCTGCCCGCCTAGCTATTGACCTGTTCAGCTTTTTATTACACCAATCACAGCAATATATCTTCACATAATATAGAAATATCCCACATTTCCCTGTTTTTGTCTAAGTAAAAAAAGGAAAGATTTTAACTCTAACATAGTAAAACTATATACAATAAGAACAGCCAGGCAGTGGTGGCACACGCCTTTAATCCCAGCACTCAGAAGGCAGAGTCAGGTGGATCTCTGTGAGTTTGAGGCCAGCCTGGTCTACAGAGCGAGTTCCAGAACAGCCTCCAAAAGAAAAACCAAAACAACAAAAAAGAACAATATCAGGCAAGAATTACATTCACAATGTCCATTCCATTTGTATTTGGCATATTTGGAGAAAATGCTCTATTGTCTAGCCTGATTTAGTGAGTCCAAAGTTTTATACCTAAACCACTTTCTGTAAAGTGTAGTTTTTCTCTGCCAACCACTTTGTGCACCCCCCCATCCGCTTGGGCTCTTCTGCCATAATTGTAGTCCCCAAATAACACACAGGACACTATATTAACTATGACGCTGTTGGCCGTTTGCTTGTTTCTTACTGGCTATCTCTGACTTAAGTATTTACCCCATAAATGTTAATCTAAGTATTTGTTTTACCAGAGAAAGGGTCCAGACCTTGTATGGTGGCTACATGATGTCTGTCTGTCTCTCTCTTTCCCAGAATCCTCCTTGACTCCTAGTCCCACCTATCTTGCTTCCCTATTGGCCAACAGTGCTTTATTCAACAACCAATAAGAGACAGATTTCAGAATGACATCTATCAATTTTCTTTTTTGTTTTTTTTTTTTTTTTGAGACAGGGTTTCTCTGTAGCTTTGGAGCCTGGCCTCGAGCTCACAGAGATCTGCTTCCCTTGCCTCCCAAGTGCTGGTATTAAAGGCGGGTGCCACCACTGCCCGGCTAAGCCTTAGGTTATTAAAACATCTTAACTACCATATTCTGTAGCTCTCTGAAGTGTTGGAAGACCATCTATGTAAACTGTATCTCTGTTTGACCTTGAAAATATACCTAGCATGACTACAAATTTGATTGTTAGATGACTGACTACTGGTCTGTATTTTTTAATTATTTTAAATAGTTTATAATAATAGCTTTTAAGGACTAGAACTTTACATTTTTATATTTTTGGTTGTGAGTCTAGCCTTTAACAGCTGAGCTATCTCTCCAGCCCAAACTTTACATTTTTAAATGAACTGCATAGGTAGAGTACCTTAAATAAGAGTAGAAAGCTACACAGTATATTGTAACAAAAGTAATCTTAAATTTGTATCAATATACAAAAGTCTATACCAATGTAAAATATTTGACTAGTACTTGCTTTTTAGTTTAAAAGTAGATCCAAATAATCTGTCCTTTCATTCTATTATTCCTATTTTAAAAGTAAAGTCAATAATTTACCCTTTCTTGTATCCCCCTTTTTTCTTTTCAGAACGAGATCCTTGAATTCAATCTCTTGTGTAGTTTTTTTTCCTGACCATGACCAGGCATGACCATAACAACTTGCACTAAACTCCACCAGACAACCTGAAACCAGTCACCCCACCTCTTGAGAATGTAGATGTCATGTTCTCTAGACTGCTTCCTGTTATCTGAGGGCAATGGCATCTTTAGAGGACCCTGAGAAAATTGGGGTAATGGTCATGTCCTGGGAGAGCTAGTTGTATTATTTTTTGTTTAGTATTCGTGTGAAGGGAAAGTGTACAGCTTATCTGAGGTCTTGACTGGATAGTCTGTGAGGCTAGACCATCTCAGCTAGCAGGTTTGGAGTTTTTCTGGATGCAGAACTCTGAGGAAACTACGACAGAGGCATTCTTGAGACTGGATCACCTTGGTTATTTGTTTTTATTAGTGTGTGGTCTTTTCTGAAAACACAAAAACTTTTAAAGGTAACATATCTGCATTAACACAAGGATGGAGGTGCTAGAGAGATGGCTCATAGATTAAGAGCACTGGCTATTCTTCTAGAGGACCTGGGTTCAATTCCCAGCACCCACAGGGTAGCTTATAATGGCTTGTGACTCTACCTCCAGGGAATCCAACACCTTCACACAGGCATACATGCAGGGAAAATACTAATGTACATAAAATAAAAAAATAATTTTTAAAAATCTTAAGTATGGAATGTATGGTGTGCATAGATCAGCTAAAGATGATTTTGTATTTTATGTTTGAGCAGGTAAAGACATCTGTTAACTTTATAAGTTCATTTGAACTGTAAACAAGCCTCTGCCTATACCATATGAAAGGATAGCATGCAATAGTAAGTCGTGAGGACTCTGTAGCCAACAAGATTTATTATGCCTCATCTAGTCTCAGCTGTTCCCATGTAAAGAGATCAGTATATAGGTCATCTGTCTATAGTCTTTTTTTCCTTTATGTCTTTAACCCAGAGGTCTCCCCCAATCAAATGTGATCTTTATTAATTTTGATGAGATCCATAGTTTCTTGTTTCCTGTAGAAACAAAGGCATAACCTCTCCCTCAATGCAATACATTTCCTGACTTCTATTCTAAAGTTAAGACAACTTTAAAATGTATAGGCTGCTTGAATTCTGCAGTTTTTCCACAACCCAACATCTCAGCAGCTGTCTTTTTTTGCTCATTAGCATTTTAAAAACCCAAAGTCAACAAAGCACTGTACAGCATCCAGCTATGCTGTGTATTTCTCATCCTTACGTGGCTTATTACTTCTTCTTTGAAGACTTTATTATTTTCAAACCTTTTCTATGACTGTCAATACCCATTTTTTCCTTCCGCATATAAGCACATTTTTAAACATACTATATCCACATCTGGCTCCTTGTCCAGAACTTTTCCTAGCTTTCTCAGGCCCTATGTTTGAATATTTGACTCTCCATGTTGGATGCCATATGTAGTACTTTTTCACCAGGACTGCCAGTCCTCAAATAATGATATGGAGACTTATTTATTATCAAGTATTAAAGCTTGACTTTAGCTTAGGCTTGTTCCTAACTAGTTCTTTTTTGGGGGCAGGGGGTTGAGATAGGGTTTCTCTGTGAAAAGGTCCTGGCTGTCTTGGAACTACCTCTGCAGACCCAACTGGCCTTGAACTCACAGAAATCCACCGCTTCTGCCTTCCAAATGCCAGGATTAAAAGTGTTGCGCCACCACCACCCAGTCCTCACTACTTCATATAACTTAAATTAGCCCATATTCTTACCTATGCTCCTTTATGAGGCTGGTTACCTCCCCTCTCTACTCCTTATCCTGCTTTCTCTGTGCCTAGCTAGAGATTCTGCCTTTCTTCCCAGAGTTCTCTCTCTTCCTGGAAGTCCCATCTATTCTCTCCTAGCTACTGCCATTCAGCTTTTTATCACACCAATCACAGAAGTACATCTTCACACAGTGTATAAATATCCCTGGCTGTCCTAGAACTCGCTTTGTAGTCCAGACTGGCCTGGAACTACAGAGATCGGTCTGCCTCCGTCTCCTGAGTGCTGGCATTAATGGCATACATCATCACCTTGCTTTGTTTTTGTTTTTGTTTTTGTTTTTTGAGACAGCGTTTCTCTGTGTAACAGCCCCAGCTGTCCTAGGACTCATTCTGTAGATCATGCTGGCCTCTGCCTCCTGAGTGCTGGGATTAAAGATGTTTGTATAATAAGATGTTTTTTCTTTGGGGGGCCTGTCACCAAGCTCTCAAATGAATCACACACTGAGTCTTAGTTATGGGTGTCTGGCCTTAGCTTGGCTTGTTGCTAGCCAGCTTTTCTTAAGTTATATCATCTACCTTTTCCCTCTGGGCTTTTATCTTTCTTGTTTTTGTATTTTTCACTTTATTAACTCCATGACTGGCCCCTGATGTCCTCCTATCCTTGTTTTCCTGCTTCTCTCCTCTTCATTTTTCTTATTTCTACTCTCTGCCTGCCAGCCTTGCCTATCCTTGCTCCTGCCTCTCTATTGGCTGCTCAGCTCTTTATTATACAGACACAATAACACAGCTTCACTGAGTTAAACAAAGACAACATAGACAAAAGTTACAGACCTTAAAATAATGTTTTCTAACATGTGCACTCTAAGTTTGTGTGCTTGCTTTTGAGTTTGGAGTAAAGCCAAGAATTGTAGAGGCAAGGCACATGTTGGAATTATTCTATCTTGCTATGTCCCCTAACTAGAGCCACGAAAGTATTTGATTTCCTAGTACAGCTTAGTGGGCCAGAGAGATATATGTAGAAGCTACTAGTTGACACAAACTTGATTGGTTTTGGATATCAGGGATCTGCAGGTGTCTGCTTGGGAATTCTAAGGAAATAAGACTCTGATAACTGGCAACTTTAATGCTATGAAGCATAATCTAGGGGGTGTGAACATGGCTTAGTGGATAAAAGTACTTGCTGTGCAAGTGTAAGGACCTGGTTTCAAATTCCCAGAACCCACATAAAAGTCAGATGCTGAATGTGTCTATAGTACCAGAACTCCTACAGAGAGATGGGAGGTAGAGATAGATGACTCCCTGGCAGTTTGCATGTCCTGTCTCAAATAAGGTGGAAGGCAAGAATTGACACTTGAAGTTGTCCTCTTACTTCTACAGGTGTTATGAGACACTTGTTTTTAATATTCACACACAAATACAGTACTCAGTGATATCTTGCCTGTCTCACATGGAAGTATGTTAAGAGCCTCCTTCAGATAGATTTTTTTTCTGTTGTTAGTCATTTGTTTGAGACAGAGTCTCATCCTCTATCCTTGGTTAGCTATGGCCCTCATACTTCAGTCTCTCAAATGCCACACTTATAGGTATATACTACCATGCCCAGCTTTAAAAAATATGTCCTCCTTTTTTGGTGGTGGTGGGAGACATTGTCTCATTTTGTAGCCTTGGTTGATCTGAAACTCCCTACAGAGACCATGATGCCTTCAAACTCAAGGTCTTCCTGCGTCTGCCTCCGAAGTGCTGGGATTAAAGGTATATGCCACTAGCCGGGCGGTGGTGGCACATGCCTTTAATCCCAGCACTCGGGAGGCAGAGGCAGGCGGATCTTTGTGCATTCGAGGCCAGGCTGGACCGATAGTCTCCAAAACAATACAGAGAAACCCTGTCTCGTAAAAAACCAAAAAAAAAAAAAAAAGGTATATGCCACTAAGCCCAGGTAAAATTTTTCTTTGAGGTAAGTGGTGGGGAAGATTAGTAGATAACACTAAGGTTCCATTTCTGCATTATAGACCAAAGATTCTGAGATGTATTATTAAACCAGAGAATTGTGTGTCTGACAGTGGCTCTTAGGGGGACACAGGCTGTTTACTTACTCAACAGTAGAGTTTTTGCTGTGTGCTCTGTGCTAAACTTTAGGGGATATAGAGGAGAAGGCTTTTGCTTTCAGTTTGTAATCTGCTGTGAGGAAGATGGGCAGGAAACACAGATTGAAGATAATTTCAGTGACAAATGTATGTTATAAAGATAACGTAGAATGATAATGACCAATTGACATTAAATCTGCTATAGATGATTGTATTAAGAGATGTCTTTTTGGCCGGGCAATGGTGGTGCACACCTTTAATCCCAGCACTTGGGAGGCAGAGGCAGGCGGATCCCTGTGTGAGTTCGAGACCACCCTGGTCTACAGAGCGAGTTCTAGGATAGTCTCCAAAACTATATAGAGAAACCCTGTCTCGAAAAACCAAAAAAAAGATATTTCTTTTTATGTTTGTGCTGTTTGAGTTTTTGATGGACATGAATTCCTCTTTTAAAAAACTTTTTTTTTGGGTTTTTTTTTTCGAGACAGGGTTTCTCTGTATTGTTTTGGAGGCTATCGGTCCAGCCCAGCCTCGAACTCACAGAGATCCGCCTGCCTCTGCCTCCCGAGTGCTGGGATTAAAGGCGTGCGCCACCAACGCCCGGCTTTAAAAAACTTTTAATTACAGTTTATTGGTGGTGGAGGGCACATGCATGCTACAGTGTACATGTGTCAGAGGACAACTAGCAAAAGTTGGTTCTGTCCTTCTACCATATGACATGGGTCCTGGGGCTTGAACTCAAGTGGCAAACATCTTTAACCACATAGCCATCTCCTCAGCCCATGAAGTTCTTTTTAATTATGTAAAACATAATAATGTTCACTGTGGCCCATGCCTCCTGAACAAGTCTTGTGAACTTTCTACCAAAAGGACCTTTGACTTAACTGATAAGTGGCTGGCAGTACAACTTGAAACAAATTGAAGTTGGGAGTATCTTGGGAAACGGACTCTGTCTCCATTGCCAGCAATGCCTCAACCTTGAATAGCATCATCAAGTGTAATATAAGCTCACGATTTAACTAGAATAGGGTGGGCTTGGTTTGTAAAAAGTTAAGAGGAGAAAGTATAAGGTTGGGAACTTTGATAAAGCCTCCCACAAAGGGTGTGTGCAGAATTAGTACTTGGATTTGAAGGGAAGGAGTCTTGCTACCTGTTTTTCTTGTTAAATGCCCATCTCTGCTCTACCATAGATGCTGCACGTGAGATCCGAAAATATGATGATGTGACAGAAAAGGTGAACCTCCAGAACAATCCAGGTGCCATGGAGCACTTCCACATGAAGCTTTTCCGTGCTCAGAGGAATCTCTACATTGCTGGCTTTTCCTTGCTGCTGTCCTTGTGAGTAGGGAGGGGCCAGGAGTTTGTGGAGGAAGCCATGGGTTAACTAAGAATACAGAGCTGTGCAGTTTGGTCTTCTATGGCTTTACCACCTTAGTGTGTGGCCTGGACTCAAAGACCGTGGATATTGGAAGGGGGTGGAAAAAATTCCAGAAGGCCTTATTTTTTGTGTATGTGTGTGTGTGGGTTGATACAGGGTTTCTGTGTAGCCTTGACTGTCTTGGAACTCTGTAGACCAGGCTGGCCTCAAACTCACAGACATCCACCTTCCTCTGCCTCCTGAATGCTGGGATTAAAGGCGTGCGCCACCACCATCCAGTTTTTTGTTTTGTTTTGTTTTGTTTTGGTTTTTTTTTTTTTGGTTTTTCGACACAGGGTTTCTCTGTGGCTTTGGAGGCTGTCCTGGAACTAGCTCTTGTAGACCAGGCTGGTCTCGAACTCACAGAGATCCGCCTGCCTCTGCCTCCCGAGTGCTGGGATTAAAGGCGTGCGCCACCAACGCCCGGCTCAGTTTTTTGTTTTTTGCTTTTTTTTTTGAGACAGTTTGTGTATCACTGACTATCCTGGAACTCATATGTAAACAAGGCTGGCCTTGAATTTACAAAGATCTACCTGCCTCTGCTTCCCAAGTGATGACATTAAAGTTGTGTGCTATTATGCCGAGTAAAAGACCATATCTTACCACATTTTGTGGTAGGTCAGATGTACCACCATCTTGTGCTCTGCTTGTAGAATGAAATAAGTGGCAAAACTTTCCCTCTGGTAAAGGATCTTTGGAGTCCATCTCATAAGGGACTAACTGGTTTGGGGTCCTTTGTATATGGGGTACTGAATTGGATGGTGTGGGCAGAAGTTAACATGAATGGGTTAAGGCCTTCCCTAGTGTAAATTTGTATCCAGATCATGTTGTGATCTGTGGTGTCTTGAGGGTTTCTGGTCATTTCTTACAAAACTGAAAGCCTTGACCAAGGCTGCAAGAGTGACTAATTGGGTAAGATCAGATGACTTGAAAATGCCTATTAGCATCTGGAGCCCTGTTTTCTGCTTCTGGTTTTACCCCTGGGCTTTAATCTTAAGTACCTAGCAGAGAAGTAGATGAACATGCTCAGTCTAGGGCAGGTGAAAAAGGTATTAAAAGGATGTCAATAGTAGGCAGAAAATGTAGCTCAGTGGTAAAGGATTTATCTGGTATGTGCAAGATCCTGGGTTTGCTCCTTAGCATTGTTCAAAAAGAATAAAATCAAACCAAAAATGTTGGTTGCTCTGTTGTTCAGGGACAAGTCCATTTGTTCTGTGGTAATAAATGCATTTCTTACTGTTCTAGGGGCTGGGTCATTCAAAGTTAATGCATGGACAGGCTTGGTGTCTATCTAGTGAGGGTTTCACGGTACCTCCTCTGGAGGGGAGGAACACTATTCTCACATGCTAACAGCATAAAAAGCACAAGTTAGTTTCCTGTGGACCTTTATAAGACACTAATCTGTTTATGAGAGCAAAGCCTCCAAAGCTTAATAATTTCCCAATGGACCCTACTCTTCCTCTTAGTATTATCACAATGGAGATTAAAGCTAAACATGAATTTGGGGGCCATTGAGACAGTGCTACATTGCCATTCTTACCTGACTTTAGACCCAAAGACTCAAGATTTAGTGTTTAAGGGATTTTTACCCTCTTAATCACCTGGCATGTTGTGCTTCAGTAGGCATTAATACCTGTCCAGATTTTAGCTTTCCAGAAAACAGTCAGTAAGTGGAATGTAAATAATAATAATAATAATAATAAACAAAACAGTCAGTCAGATGATCTTGGATTTTCACAATCCAAGTTGAGGAGAGTAAAATATGGAAGCAAGTAAGGGTTGTGTGTTTGTGTCTGTCAGTATGTCTATGTATCTGTGTCTACTTACATTTGTATCTCTTTAGTGTTTTAGTATGGTGAGTCATCACTGTATGTTTGTACAACCTAAGACTCTACACATGCAAAGCACATTATGATCTGCTACTACCCTCACTCTAAGCTACTACCCAAGCTCTAAGACATTGTTAAGATAATCTATATGTTTATGTGCATGTGAGTGCTAATTATTTTTTTGGTACCAGGCCTTGAATCCAGGGCCTCTTGCCTACTAGGCACATATTCTACTACTGAAGCATATCCTTTAAATTACTTAAAGTTTTTTAGATTTTTTAAATTTTATGTATATAAATGTTTTGCCTGTATACATGTATGTGCATCACATGTTTGCCTGTTAGATGCTCTAGTATTGGGGCTATGAATGGTTGTGAGATACTGAATAGGTACTTGGAACTGTAGCAATGTCCTCTGCAAGAGTAACAAGTACTCCTTACTACTGAGGCATCTCTCCAGACCTCTTTGCTTTAAGATTTGAACTAGGATATCATCAAGTTGCCTGGACTGTTTTTCAAATTTATCATTCCTCTGCTTCAGCCTCCTGAGTAGCTGACAATATTAAATATATGTTAGCCTACTTGGCTTAAAGTAGTATGTTTGATCATCTTCAAGCTTAACATCTTCAAATTTAGGAAAGTCAAGAGATGAGAATGCTGGGAGAAGTTGACACATATCCTAGATATGTAGAGTTTTAAAAAAATACAGTGGGGATGGGGCTACAGGGTGAAAGTCAAGAGATGAGAATGCTGGAGAAGTTGACACATATCCTAGATATGTAGAGTTTTAAAAAAATACAGTGGGGATGGGGCTACAGGGTGTAGCTTAGTGGCAGAGTGCCTAGTATGTGTAAGGCCCTAGATGACATCTTTAATGTGCATACACACATGCACAAACATGCACAGAGTATGGAGAGTGAAACCTGTTGTTCTTCAGTGGGAAAGCAGGTTTTTTTTTTAAAAATATAGTTTCTTTGTGAAACAGTCCTGTACTATCCTGGCTCTCGATCTTGTAGACCAGCCTGGCCTCGAACTCACGGAGATCGGCCTGCCTCTGCCTCCCAAGTGCTGGGATCAAATTTGTGTGATACCAACGCCCAACAGAAAGCAGGCTTTTATATGGCTTTGTTAAGTAAGAAGATGGAGGACAGATTGAAACCCCCAGTATATAAGACTCTACCAGCATGCCAAGCTTTTCCAAACAATTAACTTCGCTTAGACGTGATGAGATTTTATTCAGAAACTATAAGATCAGCTAGAAATGGAATTGCTAGAAATCCTTAAGGAACTGTAGAGTAGGATAAATTTTGGAAGGCAACAAACATGCTTACTTCCCAGTTAGTTACCAAGTAGTGAGGGTGGATGGGGAAATGACTAGAATGGGAAGATTTGAGTTAGACCCGAAGTCATGTTCTAGAGAGGTTTGTGTCCTTTTGAGAAAGGGGATCAGAATTACTAGAGAGTTCTGTAAGTCTTATCCCTCTCTTCTATAGGTCAAATATAAGATTCTTCTTAAAATATTTATTATGTATACAGTGTTCTGGCATGTAGATGGTTGTGAGCCACCATGTGTTTGCTGGGAATTGAACTCAGAACCTCTCGGAAGAACAGCCAGTGCTCTGAACCATCTCTCTGGCCCTAGATTTTCAGCAGTATTTACTAGGCTGAAATGTTGGGTGAAATTTGATCATGTTTATTACTCTGGGACCACCACCAATGGAGCCAACCTTAGTTCAGCAGGAAAAGTCCACATTCAGCTGATTGGAATGGGGCATCCAGATCTCTGGCGGACTAAAAGGAGAAAGAGAAGCACACAGAAAAGGAAGATGCACGACCAAGGGGTTGTATTTACTTAGATGAAGGAAGTAGATAGGGAGGGTCCTATCTTGGTCACTCTGTGGCTTTCTCAGGTTTATTCCTTAATATTTACCCCTGAGTTTTGTTTTTCCTTAAATGATAAAATATTCCAATACTGAAAGCTTTTAGGGACCCAGTGCTAAAGTGTGGGCAGGGTGCTGGCCTAACCAGTGTTCTTAGGTGTAGTTCTAATTCACGTAAGTTGCTACTATACAGAGCAGTGCCATTTAGATAGAGGCCTCATGACTCATGAGGCTTTCTGTCCATCCTTGGCCTATTCCACCCGGATGAGGCTGTGGTGAGCAGATATGGCAAGAAGTAGACACTAACAGAAGTAGCAAGTACCTGAATGGCCTTTCAGAGGTCTAGATGGCCTCACTAATTGGGCTAGCTGGAATGTGAGACCTGAATTTTTAATGGGAAGACATTTATAAATGGGCACATAAGGTTTATCAAGGGCAAGGATGACTGAATTAAACAGGAACACAAAGACTTGGGCTTGTTAAAGCTTAATTGAATTTGGGACAAAAGTTCAGAGTAGGGAAGGTGCCTGTAGAGTTCAGTGCTCAGCATTGAAAATAAAACAAAACAAAACAAAAAAACAGACCGTGGTGGAGAGGGGGTGGTGTCGGTAGTGATAAGCGCCTTTAATCCCAGCTCTTAGGAGGCAGGGGTAGGCAGATCTCTTCATTCCAGAGAAGCCTGGTTTACAGAGTGATTTACAGGGCAGCCATGGCAATTACACAGAGAAACCCTATCTCAAAAATCCATTAAAAAAAGTGCTCAGCAGATAAAAGCACTTGTTTTTGCAGAGGACCCAGGCTTTACATGATCCATAACCAATTCAGGGAATCTGACACCAGACCCCATCCCTAGCCCCACCCCCGCCACCAAGATAGGGTCTTACTGTGTACCTCTGGCTATACTGGAACTCATGTATAGACCAGATTGGCTTCAAAGTCACAGAGATCAGGCCTGCTTCTATATCCCAAATGGTTGGATTAAAAATGTGAACCACTACACCTGACTATTTATTTACTCACCTATCTATTTATTTGTTTATGTATATGTATGTATTCATCTATATGTAGATGGATGTCTTATCTGCATATGTGTTTCTATACTATGTGCATGCCTGTTTACATACAATTGTAAGCTACCATGAGAGTGCTGAGAATTGAATCCAGGTCCTTTGGAAGAAGAGGTAGTACTCATAACCACTGGGCTAACCACTGA